CAGAGGTTAACCACTTGCGCTGGCAACCGATTGCGGACCATAACGAGTGACCGAACCGTACACGATAAATCGTCGCTTTCTTTTTGAACTCGTCGATATATCACTGTAGATAGATCGAAATTATTATTATTTATTACTTGTTTTGCCTGGGTTATATTGAAATATGTTTAAAACTGAGAAAATGTTGCAATTTTGGAACAAAAAATTCTCGACGTATCATTCCAGCGCAAGAGGTTAAAGTCTCATTTAAAGCGTGAAGCTTCTACTTACTTGTTACTCGTTTTTTTTCTTTCTTTTTTTTTTTTTTCCTTCAAAGGTCGAAGATTTCCACGTGTCTAAGAACGTTGAAAAAAAAATTTTTTTTTGCAACTAGATGCAGAACCATCGTTTCAAAGATCGAAGACCTCTTGAAACTTACGCTGTACGATTTTATTGAAAAAATTGAAAATTCAAGAAATTCTAATATTTGACTAATCCGTCTAACCCTAAACGTTCCATATTCGATAAAATGGTACGAAAAAAAAATCGTACAGCGAGTTTTAAAGGCTCGTTTCAATCTTCGAGATTGAGAGAATTTTTTAATCATTTCACGCGCGCTTGAACTTTTACAATATCCGAAAAAGGAACTCATCTCTTCGAGAAAGAAACGAAAGAACGAGCTCACGACTGTCAAAGTATAAGCTTCACAAGTTTTAGAATGAAACTGTGAACGTAGATTGTTACGTGTCGATTCCGTTTTCACGAAGCTTAAATTAGCATCAATGGTATTTCGTTTTTTTCTTTTTTTTTCAAACAATTCGAAAAATTCGAAGGTAGATCGATTGTCGGGGATATTTTGCTAGAGTCAAAGCAGGTTGGTGGTTAACTTAGTAGTAAACTCGATTAAAAAAAAAAAAAAATGCAGAATTGGATTAGAATTTTTTTTAAACTAAACGCTACGTCCTTTTCTCCTGAGAGAAAAGTTGACTTCTTGAGGAATTTCTGGCATGCCACTGATCGGCCATTGTTACGCCAACCTCGTCGATCCAAGGCTACATTCACGTAGATTGCGTAGAAATAATCTTCCAACCCTTTTTCATACCGTGTGGAGTTCGATCTAAAAAACCCTTCGTTAAAAATCTGTTAAAAACATTCGTCACTCTCGCGTGGAACTTTAATTTAAGGGAGTATTTGTAAAAATCGACTTTTTGGGAATTTTCTTTCTAAGAAGACCATGATACATTTTGGCATGCAGTTTTCGCACACAGATTTATTCATACTTAAAGAGTATTTACCATTTTTCTCTTTTAACGAAATTAATGAAAGTTGTGGAAATTATATAGCCTTGGGTAAAGGAAAATGTTTTTAAAAACGGGTTCAAATGGCTGACGTGCCATTTTCGGCCCATCTGGTTACTTGAAACTAAAAAACGAAATTGCATCTTAATTAGTATAAATATGGCTATCGCGTGAACCACGGAGACAGCGAAATTTCGAAAATTAAAAAAATGGCAGCATTTTGAAATTAAAATATCGATTTTCTTTGTGCTTTTCGTTTTTTGGATAGCAAAAAAAAAAAAAAAAAAAAATGAAAAA